CCGCTGCCCGAGCGGAAACGCCACTGACCGCACGGGGATTCCCAGTGCCGGCGCCAGGGGCACGCGGGACACGCCCCCTCCCGCCGCGCCATTGGCCTCGCCGCCCACCGCCCCGCACTTATTGGCCAGCTCGCCGCCAATCAGCGGAGGCTGCCGGGGGGCCACCTAAAGAAGAGGCTGTGCTCTGAGGCTCCGGCTCCTCAGAGAGCCTCGGCTAGGTAGGGGATCGGGACTCTGGCGGGAGGGTGGCGCGGCGCGGTCGCGGGGACTGGCGGGTGCGGCGGGCCCTCGAGGATGCCGGGACAGTCTGGTGGGGCCGCTGGGTGCGATCCGTACGCTGGACAGGGCAGGCGGGTGGCGGTCGGTACTACGGTCCGCCCCGCAGCAACCGGAGGGGGAGGGAGAAGGGAGCGGAAAAAAAAATCTACACCGGACGCGGCCATGGCTCCCACGGGGGAGCGGAGGTGCGCTTCCGGTGCACGTCTCGTCGCTGATTGGCCTCCTCTCCTCCCGCCGTGTGTGAAAACACAAATGGCGTGTTGTGGTTGGAGTGAAGCGCCTGTCAGTTAAAATGGGTGCTGGAGTGCGCAGCCGCTCGCTGCCTCGCTAGGCCCACTGGGTGGGGCGGGAGGTAGGTGGGGTGAGGAGAGCTGGACGTGCGGGCGCGGCCGGCCTGGGGCGGGGGAGGGGAGGGGAGGGAGGGTCAGCGAAAGTGGCTCGCGCCCAGGAGCCTCCCACCCTCCCCTTCCTCTGGAGGACCCGCCGCCGGCCTGGCCTCGTCGTCTGATTGGCTCCCGGAGCCCAGAAAACTGGCCCTTGCAATTGGCCCGCATTCCTGCGAGTTCAGGCCCTGGGCGGGCTGGCGGGGGCGGCGGGGAGGTGCTCGCAGGATCCGGCCCTCCCCGAGGCCGCGCGCCGCAGAGTCTGGCCCCGCGCCCCTGCGCAACGTGGCAGGAAGCGCGCGCTGGGGGGCGGAGACGGGCGCGGTTCCTTCTAGAGTTGCGGCCGCACGAGGGGCGAGATGAGCCGGACTTGCGGCGCACCCTCCGGGGAGTGAAGAAAGGAGCGGGGGACTCAGTCGGGCCGGTTTGGAAGCAGAAAGCGCCTTGCTCTCTAAAATTTCGTGGGAGCTGCAATCAATAAGGGAGCCGCAGTGGAGTAGGCGGAGAGAGGGCCGCACCCTTCTCTGCAGGGGAGGGGAGTGCCGCAATACCTTTCTGGGAGTTCTCGGCTGCCTCCGGTCTTCTAAAGACCCGCCCCGGGCCTGGAAGAATCCCTTCCCCCTCTCCCCTCGTGATCTTCAAGTCGAGGCTTTCTGGAAGATGGGCGGGAGACTTCTGGGCAGGCTTAAGGGCTAAACTGGTGCGTGGGCGTTGCCCTGCAGGGGAATTGAACAGGTGTAAAATTGGAGGGGCGAGGCTTCCCACGGGTTTTCGTTGGTGTCGGGAGGTAATTATAATAGGGGCAACGGAGGGAAATGGGAGACTAGGCGCTCACCTGGGGTTTTATGCAGCAGAACTACAGGTTATTATTGCTTATGATCTGCCTTGGAGTATTTTTCATCGAGTTAGATTAAAGGCATGCTCACCCGAGTTTATACTCCCACTTGAGATCCTTGCTGTATCATGAAATTATAGTATCGCAACTTAGAATACATAAACAGAATCTTAGCATTTTCTACAGAGCCCAGTACTTCACTCTGTCCCTCCTGCTCCCTCTGCAGTCCTACCAAAAGATATTTTAGCACTCTCTCATTTTAGTCCCTTTTTTATTTTTTTTGTACTGGTTTATCCAATGCCTAGACAGAGCACTGGCATTCTTCCTCTCTTGATCTTAGAAACCTGATGAGTCATGAAACCAGACAGATTAGTTACACCACAAATTGAGGCTGTAGCTGGCCCTTACCCTGCAGTTTTCCTTAGTACATCTTGTTGACTGTTAGCCTTGATTTTCTTTTTCTATCCCCACCCCTTCAGGAGCTTCACTACAATAGATTTATTGAGAATCTAACCTGAAGTTTGGCTTCTTTCCATTCCCATGAATGCCTTTCTCTTCCCACCTTTAATAAATTGAACTGTTTCTATTAATGGTCTACAGATGGATATTTCCTCCAATATCACCGACATATCTTACATATTGCCAGGCTGATTGTATTAAAAGGTGTATGAATTGACATAAAATATGCTGACTCCTTAATGCTTTAGTGGATTCCATGAGTACAATACAGAAGACCGTTAATGGGCTAATGACAGCTTTTTCATTATTTCCTACACACACACAATCTCTTAGGTCACATGGAATTGATTGTTGCCTACATTTTGTCACTGTACATGTCTGTCTGGAATACAGACTGTTAAGGTTCAGATGTCTCTCCTGGCCTAAGGTCCTGTGGTCCTATATTTTCCTATTTAGGTAGTGTTTTCTTCTGGCCTCTGGCTTGATTCATGACACTCCATGTTATTGCTGGTTTTACTGAGCTGCTTTGGTATGGTCTTACCGAGTGGTGTCTGCTAAGTTCCTATTGTATTGCTTGACTTGTAGCCAGGCACAAATGAAATGACTGAATGTACTTGTGAAGCTTGGTCTTTAGGTTCTTTGTTGTGTGTGTGCTCTATAAGAATCCAGGAGAACTTACTGCAGAGATGTGGATACTCTGTTTTGTTCCAGTATGGTAGCCAATAACCAAATTACTTGTTAAGCGTTTGGAAATATTATGGGAACTAATTTTTATTTGAAGTGTAAATAGTGTGGACAGCGGAGCCATTGCTGCAAACTTGTGGGTTTCAGAAGACTAGTGCAGACTTTTTAAAGAATTTTCTGTTACACTTAACAACAAAGAAATAAAAATTGAACCTTTGGTAGCCTATTTAAGTTGCTTGTTGTATTTTATTTTTGTGCTTCATTTATTCTAAACATGAAAGCAAGTACTGATTAATTTGGATTTCAAAAACAGAGCCAGTGTTTTAGCTGGGAAGTGGTGGCAGTTGCCTTTGATCCCAGCATTCAGGAGGCAGAGGTGGTAGATCTCGGAGTTCTAGGCCCACCTGACCTGCAGAGTGATTTCCAAGATAGCCAGGATTACACAGAGAAAGCCTGTTGAAAAATAAAATTTACTAAGCTGAGATTTTTTTAAATCATAATTGAGGCAGTACTTAGGAGCCACCGTGGGATTTGGATTTCTCTGTGGCTGATCAACCTAATTCACCCTCCCCCTTTTGATACTCTGGGCTTCCTTATTCTTTAAAGCCTCTTTCCCACCGTGTAGCTTCTTGTTTGCCAATTCCTATGCTGGTTTAAATGGCATGGCTTTTTATTTTCTATGGGCAGCTGCTAAGATTTGCATCTTGGTTTCTGGGGTGGGGTTTGGAATTCTTTTTAAAAAAAGTTTTAAAAGATGGGGAGTGTATAATACCTAGTTTTGTGCTCCCTAAAAGACTTTGTTTTCTATGTAAGATTTCTTAAAATATGGTATGTTTAGGACAGGGATCTTAGGGTTTTAGTATGCAGAAACTGTTGCCTTGCTGTTTAATTTGAATCTTCCAGTCTCACGGCTAGAGAATTTAAATTCTGGGTAGCCAAGGCCAGATTAAAATTCTTCCCTTTCATGTTCACTTGCTTACTGTAAATATAAAAATGATAACTTCATAGGTTTTTCCTGAGACAGGATTTCACTCAATATGTATCTCTAGCTGACCTGCAACTTAGTATTTATAGGCCAGACTAGTCTTTAAGAGTTCTACCTGCTTCTGCCTCCTGAGTGCTGGGTTAAAAGTGACGAATGCATGCCTGGCCTGAACTGTTTTTTCTTCCCTCTTAAACAACCAAACAATAACAAACGATGAGTGAAAGGAAAAACCTAAATGCAGGTCAGATTCTTTTAAATATATTAAGGGGGCTTGGGTTATAATTAGTAAAGTGTTTGTGTTGCAAGCAATGAAAACTTGAATTAAATCTCCACAACACACATAAAAAAGCCAGGCATGTTAGAGCACGGCTGTATCTGTAGGACTTACTGGCCACACAAGCCTAGTTACTTGGCAGGCTCCATGTTGGTGAGAACATATCTCAAAAGACAAGGCAAACAGCAACTAAGAAACTACAAAGTTGTCTTTCACACCCATCTACATAAACAGGCAGAGAGTTAGTAAAATATTTCAGATAATGTTTCCTTCAACTTTTTATCTAATACTATGTTTCTTCTGTCAAATCACATTTTTCAAGGAAAATGGGGATTTCTTTAGTGAGTAAACAGTTAGAACCAAACAAATTTTATGATTTGTGAAACTACGTTTTCAACTGATAGTTAAAGCCTATGAAATATAGGACAAAGCTCTTATTGTGCAGGAATCTAATACTTAACTGAGGTGTCTTAATACTCTTTTCATGGAGGAAACTGAGGCTTCCCTGTCTGTGCTCACAAGCTCTTCCTTGGGTTTCCCTGAACTAACCATTGCAGCTAGCTATCCGGTTCTTATACTGGGCATGGTGGTTTAAATAAACTTAGTTTCTTGTCAAGTGGTGTCATATGATTTCATTCTTAGGATAAAAACTGCTATGTATGTTAAACATTTGTGCTTATTGTGAGTTAGGTGTG